AAAGACCCTTTCGATTTCATAGGGCTAATAAGTTATCCACAAAAAACATCTGGCACAAGCGGGTTGTTCAGGATTGACGGGTATCCAGGAATCTGCTCTGGTGTAACTTTTTGTAATTCTCAACTGCCGGACTAGCCGCCAGCCACTATATAAAGTGTATTTGCTGTTTACCCGGACCCAGACCCCGGGCTATTGAATTGGCGGGTGGGGCCCCTCCAAATTATATACCCACAACAAATATGAGCATCCCGCGATAAATGATCCAGCGGGTTGTTAATCCGGGATTGGTATTACTTCCCTAGAGATGAACGTGATTAACGGAAGGAACCCAAAAACCTAGCCATGTTTAGAGGGAGAGGAGCCCTCTTTTGGGTTCCTTTTGGCAAATAGGTGAGTACCACAACAAATTCATGTGCGCACCTTGTTCCCATGGACATCCACGAAAGCCCGGTGTTAAAGGCAACTTGTTGGTCAGTTAGCCACATAGACAAGACATACCTATGTCACCCAGAATTTGTGGGATTGCCAGAATGCCTGTTTAGCTGCAAACAAAGCTTTCGCCTCGTTTGGCCAATCCACTCAAGTGAGGCAATCCGGTAGTCATCCCTTAAACCTGCCTTCAACCCCTAAAACTTCCATTTGGTCAAGAATATTGTTTATTTCCCCCTGTTGGTTTTCAAGTTGGAGTTGATTTCACGACTGGAAATATGTTCATTTTTATCCGAGTTAAGCAAATGGAGGAAAGCCATGCGTCAAAGTGCGTGCCAGGAAGATTACAGCCTCCAAGCGGGAGTGGCAAGGCGCGAGAGAATGTGGGGGAAACAGATACGGTGGCAATTCGCTTTTCGGCAATTTGGGTGTGTCCTGGTTGAGCACCCCCTTTTAGCGTCTGGTTTCAAAAGGGGAAACCAAGAGGAAGGCCCAAATCCATTTTGGGAGGTCCCCGAAAACGACATTTGTTTGAAAATGGCGACCCCACCCCCCCCAAATTGATAGTTTCTCGTTGGTTTCCCTAACCGATCTGAGAAAGTTGCCCTCAAACGGGCACAAACCCATTTGCTTTGGAGGATACTTTTTGAGGAGGATGTCCCTTGAATGAACGCAGAACTATGTCCACGGGGGTTTCCTTCTTTCTTTTTTTGGATAAGGGGGTCTAAAAGATCACTCTTTGTTGGGCTAATATTAATTTCAACCTACCAAAGAAGCTTGGGCTTATGGTGGAAGTCTGGCCAAGGAGGGCAGTGATCAGGTCATGTCCTGAAGAAATTCAATTATTCCATTTTCTCACTCCCTGATGGACTTACCTTTTTAGGTCATTTCGGTGGTAGACAAAAAGTGTGGGTATTTGTTTCGGCCAATCCACTCAGGAAGTGAGGCGTCCAATCCCTTGAGGCATCTTCACAATAAATGGCGGTTTGATTGTTGCTTTCATGGCCAACATGAATTTGGACGATTGCACAGCATGCGTCAACACCAGGAAACCAGCCAAACTTCTTGATTACATGATCAACACTTTGGTAAATTCTTACATCTTGTCCTTTTTCGATGGCACCCCTTTTCCCTTTCGGTTTGTTGGCTTTATCACTACAAGCTGTCCAGTTAGACTCATTTCTACTTTTGGGTCCGGTCGCAACCGGCTTGATCCGGAAGAAATCACATGTTGCTCGCCCCAAATCCCACTCACGCCGTCGCCGTGGTCGCCTTCCCTGCCGTTTCACCCCAAAACCGCGGGGCGCAAGCGCGGCGCAACTCTTTCGAGGCACGGAGCCTCCAGTGCTGGTCTGGACCTCGAAAGAGAGAGTCGAGCCAGGGCTGAGAGCCACGGGCGCTGTGGACATGGGGCTCAACGAACGAGGTTTAGTGCTTCAGATTTTTTTCTGGGTGTTGAAGGGAATCATTTCTTCACTGGGTTTCTTTCTTTTTGGAGGACTTATGCAAGTGGAGGGTTCCTTTGTGCGTCTCCAAAGCTCCCACCCATTCGTCCCAAAATCGCGACTTCAAAAGGTTGCCCCCTTGGGTGGTCCGGTCAAGAGGGGACCTTTCGGGCTGCTCGTTTAGGCGTTAAAAGATGAAAATACATTTGAGTCCGTGTCAAGATAGGTGGACCCCCCGCCCAAAAAAGAAAAGTCAGCTCCTGATGGTCAAGAACAAGCAGAGGAGTCTTCAGATGAACTAGTTCAGAATGAGTGGGAAAGCACTGTTTGCTTGTGGTGGTGGTTTCCCTTGAAACCAACCTGAAAAGGGGACCCTCCAAAACACCAAAGGATTTCCGTCGGCTTCCCGTTTTTCAGGTGCCAAACTATTCGCATTGCTTGGGTGGGGGCTGGATCCTGTGGCTATGGAGTCAGTTTGGAGGTTTGTCAAGATCGACTTCTCCACCTGCATGAACAGGTGAGTGGCCGGTTTTGGGGGCCCCTTTTTGGATGTGACTTGCTCCAAGAGGGAAACCGGGTGATTTCGAAGGCAAGTTGAACCAACTTTTACAGACTTGGAGACTGGCAGACTGGCGACGCATCTACCAGGGTGTGGTTCAAATTTAACCAGGAGGGGCAAACCGCAGGTTCTGGTACCCATGTTTCCACTTACCAATCGGGCAGGCCATTTTGGAATCCTTTTGTTTTTGGAGCCACAGCCACCACCTGAGCATCACGGTGCTAGGAGATGATCATCTCGCCTGGTTTTCGGGTGCTGAGGTAAAGGCGATGCAGCTGAGCCAACCGCCAGGACTTGGACTCGATGGCTTGGGATGAACTCAGCTGGAGATCCCCATATGGGTATGGGTCAAGATTAAACCACCAGGATTTGGACCGCAGGTTTTAGTCCTATTTTGACCCACTGCCATATTGTCAATCGGACTTTCGTTACGTTTTTGGGGTTTGGGCCATTTTAGTGGCAACAACAAGTGTGGACTTTTTGTTGGAAGTGAGTCCCTTCTTTTTTTTTGTGGTGCTAATGTTGAAAACTAAATCAACAAGGAGTGCCCTGATTCCTATTCCTTGCCAAACAAATTCCCGACGTTTCCACGGACTTGGAGGAAGGGAAGGGAAGGATTTCCACTGGAGATCTCCATTTCTGGCAACCCATTTTCGCTTGGGGAAGACTCGAGAAATGGAAGAAGGGGCCCGTTTTGAGCGCGTTCTTTCCCCCGCGGGTTGTGGGGATATCTTGAGGGTACCTGGACCCAAAAGAACTACACCGCAAAAAATGGAAGGCGCCAACCTCGCCAACCGTATTTTGGGTTTGCGATAGCCTTTTCTGTTGGTAGTATCTTGGCTAAAGACGGTTTCTCGGTACCCCAAACACCCCATTAAATTGCTTTAGGCGCTTATATTTAGGGGACACTTCCCCATTCTTTCCAGAAAACCATCCGAACCCCAGATTGGAAACCAGCGATCGGTTTTTGATAAAAGAACGATGGTAGAAAAGAATGGACAAGGAAAGAACCCCTAGATATACCCCCCTACTCAAAATACCCGTTCTTTTTTGGAAAGTATTTTGTGGAGAACCTGGTTTTCCAGGATAAAAAACCTGCTTTTGTAGTAGAGGGTCGACATGGACCCTTTGGGTTAGGTTTGCTTGGGGCCAAATGTCTGCTCTTCGATCGGCTCGAACGCCAGCCTGCTGCTCCTTCCGGCAAATGTTCGCCCCAAGTCGGAGGTTCCCAGTCAGCCTTTCGATATATCAGTGTATATATATATATACCTAGGTCCCCCAGTAGTACCCGTTGACCAACTTTTTTTGGGGAGGGGTCCCCTACTAAAGAGGACACAGAAAAAAGGGTACCCTTATTCTAACCTCTCTACTGGAGGACCTAGTGTATATATATATATGTAAATCTACACATTCATGACTTGGGGATTCCCAGCCGTCCGGTTCCTCATGTTTTTAGTTGTGTTTAGTTGGTTTAGGGGTTTGGCTTCCGAATTTAATCCACATGTTCAACTTTTAGCAGAGCTGACAAAACTTGAAGGGATCAACGAAGCACCGAAGCAGGCAACCAACCACTGTCCCTTTACCAGTCCCCTTGGCCACCAAAACAGAGAAATGGACTCGCCGGGCTTCAGTTGAGCAACCAACAATCACCTCTGAAACCGCTGGTTGCATGTCTAGGTCCCCCACTGTTTACCCTTTTTTGGGGGAGGGTTCCCCTACTCAAATAGTGCATGCAGATTTTTAACCTCTCTGCTGGAGGACCTAGATGTAAGTTGGACAGATTGTGAAGGGTTCCTTGAAACTTGGCTCCATCAATTTGGGGCTTTGACTCAGAACGATGGCCGCCAATTTTTGGCCGCTTTTGGCCCCTAATCTTGACAACCCCACTTCTCCCCCCCATTTGAAGGGCATTGTCTTTTGGGCTGACAGGACTTTTCACAGACTTCGGGCGTAATGAACCTTTCTTGTGGGCTTTTGGGCTCCCCACCCACCCTTTCTCACTGGGGTCTTGTTTTAGGGAAGCAAGGGGGGGATGGGTTGGGCTCAGATAATGAGAATTGGGTCTCCTTCAAATGCGAACCAAAGGGATGCGAGCAAACTGTAGGGAGAGCGAGTTTCAACCAGGGATTGACCCAACTGTCAGGGTCCCTTGCTACAAACCTATGATGTAGGTCCAATTCGCTCTGGGATCCACATCTCTTATATGTCGTCCGGTTTTGGAATGCTACGTTTTCAAGCTTATGTTACAGAGGTTCCCCATGAAACTTCGCACCCTCCTAGTTTGGAGGTCGAAGCATTGGGGATTCATTCATTCTCTGGCTCCCTGCGTTCCTGTACTTTCTATCTTTTGGGCTTAAACCATTTTGGCGGAAAACAACAAGTTTGGGCACTTTCCTTGCCAGTGCACTCGATCGAAAGTGTTATTTCCGGTTGTGAATTGTAAGCTTGTCAGACCCAGTCGCGAAAGGAAATGGGTGCTTGTTCTTGTTGAGCCCCCCAAAGTGATGGTTTTCCCTTTGGGTTTCTCTTTAAAACCAACCTCACAGGAGGAACCAAATCTGACTGCC